TGTATAAAAGTGCATTATTATTGCAAGCAACTAGCTATGCTTGCTGGCCAGACTTTTGATATTGATTTTCGTTATTGTTTTATTGTTTTTATATATTTATCTTTGTCTTTATTTATCGTATCTAGTGAACAACTTCAGATCAGAAATTATTTATTAAACTGTTGAACTTAAAAAGCATACAACCTAAAGAAAAAAATCAACATTTTTAAGTCCAAGTTTGATGCTCAAGCTACCGGTTTGATCAAACTTGTTTGAACTAAGTAGATCTGGTGGATCGGAACTTGGATAAATTTTCATGTATTTATATCTAGGAATTTATATCTTTCTCATTCCTGGTACCTTGGTTCGAGTCGTTTTAAACTCTCGCTCGGTGTAACGCGTAGAATCACCATATTTTTACTTCGTTTTGGTAATTTAAATAAAAGGTCGCTAAGAGATAATGGATTTAGACGCTTCAGGGCCGTCAAAATGTGTGATTTGCGACAAATTGTTGTCGGCGGACCAAGTAGCCCGTGCCAAATGCGGCCACGAGTTCCACAAGGATTGTTTAGAAATTCAAATAAAGGCTAAGGGCAGTTGCCCTGGTTGCCATCCCAAAGGAGAAAGCAGTAAGCAAAAAGGATCAACTAGTAAACAAGCAACCAGTGCAGCGGACTCTGAGGCTATCAGTATCATTGTGGCGCAGCAGCTGAAAGCGATGCAAAATGAACTGCTAATTCAATTAACTGATCGGATGGCACCAATAATTCAGGCAACTTTATCTGCCCATATTCAAGAGCCGTCAAGACAAGAAGCAGTCCATAATTTCAGAGCACCGTCGGATATGGGGGAGATCGAAATGCCGGAGAGGCCCATTTCAGCTTTTACAAGCTCTGATTTGAGCAGTCGTCCCGATAAGGTCGGACAGATCATTAGTAGTTGGAAGTTGCGGTTTAATGGAGACAAAGAAGGGTTAAGTGTGGATAAGTTTCTATATCGGGTGGAGGCGTTAACACGCCAAACGCTTAATTCAAGGTTTGACTTGCTATGCGGCAACGCCAGTGTACTGTTCGAGGGAAAGGCTCGCGAATTTTATTGGCGCTTTCATAAAACATCGGATAGCTCAAGGTGGGATTTGCTTACGGAAGCTTTACACAAACAGTATCGAGATACGCGTAATGATGTGGATCTGAGAGAGTCAATACGGGATAGAAAGCAGAAAGATAGGGAAAGTTTCGACTCGTTCTACGATGCCATTGTGCAAATCACGGACTGCCTGGAAGTACCCATGCCAGAAAAGGATCTAATCGAAACGCTTCGCAGAAACTTACGACCGGAAATCAGGCACGAGCTTTTGAATGTCAACATAGAATCTGTGCAGAAGCTAAGGGATATTTGTCGGCGTAGGGAAGGTTTTCTTGAGGACGTGAAGCGTACTTATGGTTACCAAAAGCCAGCTCCATATCGGACGCAAGTATCTGAGTTAGTACAAGATTGTGAGGACGCTTCGGAATTTTCGGAAGCGAATCAGGTACCACGGGTAGAGGCTTTCGGGTTGGTGTGCTGGAATTGTAAGCAAGAGGGTCATCGGTATCAGCAATGCAAGATGAAAAAAAGGGTATTTTGCTTTGGATGCGGCCTGGCTGATACCTACAAGGATGCTTGCCAAAGGTGTCAAAAAAACCCGAGGTTGAACACACGACCCCGGCAACAGCCGTGTGTTCTCCGAGAAAGGCCAGCGGATTCCGTTGTCAATCAGAAGTAGCTTTAAGCGCACCCGAGTCAGGCGGAGAGGGGAGATCTCAAACCTTTTGGCCACAGCTAATGAAAAATAAATCATCATCAAATTTTACAGCAAACCCAGTTAAAACTATCTCTCGGAATGCGAGAAGAATTAGAGATTTTTGGCAAGCGGCCAAAGCTATTAATGCTATTAGATATAAGAATCAGGATAGACGCCCGTACGCTGAGATTCGGATGTTAGATAGAGTTGTACTTGGTCTTTTAGATACAGGTGCATTAATGAGTGCCGTGGGAGGGAGTTTGGCCCAACAAATTCTCAGACAGAGAGTACCGTTTAAGAGAGTGGCAACCACAGCAAATACAGCCGACGGTCAAAAGCAAAAGGTCATAGGACGTTTTAAGACACCAGTTCAGTATGAAGGAAAGGTTAAAGAGTTAGAATTATATATTATTCCCTCATTGAGCCAGGATTTGTATTTAGGAATAGACTTCTGGACCGTTTTTGAGCTTTTGCCACCCGAGATGAATTTCGATGAGCTTATCTGTGATGCTCATATCCTGTCTAGTACTCAACAAGCCGATTTGCAAGCAGTCGTTGGTAGATTTCCTTCTTTTGCGGATTTGGGATTAGGAAAAACCAGCATTCTGTCTCACTCTATCGATGTCGGAGACGCCAAGCCCGTAAAACAAAGGCACTTTCCGGTTTCGCCAGCTGTGGAGAAGTTGCTCTACGAAGAAGTTAACCGAATGATTAAGCTCGGTGTGATTGAGGAGTCTGATAGTCCTTGGTCTTCGCCGGTTGTGTTGGTGCAGAAGCCAGGAAAGGTGCGCCTTTGCCTTGATAGTAGAAAAGTGAACGCCGTTACAAAAAGGGACGCATATCCTTTACCACAAATAGATGCAATACTTAGTCGTCTTCCCAAAGCTAACTTCATTTCTAGTCTCGACCTCAAAGATGCCTATTGGCAAATCCCTTTAGATCCGTCGTCGCGCGATAAAACTGCCTTTACAATCCCGGGGAAGCCACTATACCAATTTAAAGTCATGCCTTTCGGCCTTACGAACGCTTCCCAGACGATGACTAGATTAATGGACAAGGTGATACCGGCTGAACTCATTAACGAAGTTTTTGTATATCTTGATGATTTGCTCATTGTCTCAGATAGTTTTGAGAGTCATTTAAGCGTTTTGAGTTCCGTTGCTAGCCACATAAAGGCTGCTGGGTTAACGTTGAACGTGGAGAAAAGCAAATTTTGTGTAAAAAGCGTCAGGTATTTGGGCCACATTGTAGGAGAAGGGGTAGTGCGGACGGACCCAGATAAAATATCGGCAATGACGGATTTTCCATTGCCTAGGACGCTAAAATCATTGAGAAGATTTCTTGGAATGGTCGGGTGGTACCGAAAATTCATCAGCAATTTTGCAGCCGTGTCAGCACCCTTGACGGATCTTTTGAAGCCCAGGCAGAAATTTATAATGACTCCTGAAGGTGAGGAAGCATTTAAGAAATTAAAGGAAATGCTGTGTTCGGCCCCAGTTCTGCGTAGCCCAGATTTTAGCCAGCCATTTTATATTCATTGCGATGCCAGTAATTCCGGAGTAGGAGGGGTTTTAGTGCAGAAATCGGAGAGTGGCGAAGAATGTCCGATAGCATTTGTCTCGAAAAAATTGAACAAAGCGCAGAAGTCTTACACGGTCAGCGAAAAAGAGTGTTTGGCTGCAATAATATGCATAAAACGGTTTCGGGCATATGTTGAGGGTCATGATTTCACAGTCATCACGGACCACGCGTCTCTCAAGTGGCTAATGTCGCAGACAGATCTGCATTCTAGGCTTGCTCGGTGGGCATTGAAACTCCAGGGTTTCAATTTTAAAATTGAGCATAGAAGCGGTAAGCTCAATGTAGTTCCTGACGCCTTGTCCCGGGTCAATGAAGAAGAGATAGCAGCCGTAGATGCCAGTCATGGATTATTGGTTGATCTCGAATCCAAGCACTTTAGCGATCCCGACTATGTCGATCTAGCCGAGAAAATTATAGCCAACGGAAACAGTCTGCCCGATTTAAAAGTAGCGGATGGATTTATATATAGAAAAACGGAACACTTGTCTGGGGATCCGATTCACGATAATTTTTGTTGGAAGCTGTGGATTCCTATGGGACTGGTGCCCGACGTGCTCAAAAATGCACATGATGATCCTTTAGCTTCACATGGGGGTGTTCATAAAACGTTGGAGAGGCTAAGAAGGTATTACTATTGGCCACGACTGGTGAAGGACGTGAAGGAGTATATTCAGGCGTGCGAGATATGTAAAATGACTAAGGCTCCAAATTGTATATTAAGACCACCAATGGGAAAAGCTCCAGAGTCTGCAAGGCCTTTTCAGAAATTATACGTCGACTTTTTGGGTCCGTATCCCCGATCAAGGAGCGGAAACATAGGAATATTTATTGTGCTAGATCACTACAGCAAGTTTGTGTTTCTGAAGGCAGTGAAAAAACTAACAGCTGACGTAGTAGTTAAATATATGCAGCAAGACCTATTCCATACTTTTGGTGTCCCAGAGACTGTAATTTCAGATAATGGGTCACAATTTAAGTCGGATGCCTTCCAGAAACTCTTAAGAGAGTACCAGATATCTCATACTCGCACTGCTGTTTACTCGCCCCAAGCTAATGCGTCAGAGCGGGTAAATCGTTCAGTGATTGCTGCCATACGATCGTATGTGCGTAGCGACCAAAAGGATTGGGATGAGCAGCTAAGCAGCATTTGCTGTGCTCTCAGGTCAGCAGTTCACTCAAGTTTAGGGACTTCACCTTACTATATGATTTTTGGACAACATTTCATTTCAACTGGTGCCACGTATAAGTTGCTAAGAGCTCTCAATTTGCTCGAAGATAGATCGTTGGCATTCTCAAAGGAAGATTCTCTAGAACTTGTCCGCAGTAAAGCGTTAGAGGTGATGAAAAAACAGTTTGAAAAGAATGAGAATAGGTATAATTTGCGGTCAAGAGAAGTATCTTTTAGGGAAGGTCAAGAGGTCTATCGAAGAAACTTCAAACAGAGCAATTTCGCAGCTGGTTATAATGCGAAATTGGGTCCAGCTTTCGTGAAAGCAAGAGTAAAGAAAAGGATTGGGCAAGCTTATTATGATCTCGAGGACCTACAGGGGCATGATGTGGGCAGGTTCCATGCAAAGGATATTAAACAGTAGCCTCGCAAGCTGTGGTGTTCTCAGCCTTGGAGTATTTGCCCCTAGTCTGATCTTGATGGGGGGTATTTTTGTAGCGCTTGCTCGGAAAAAAAGATACTTTTCTAGCGCCATCTGTTGGATGTTGGAGAGAAGGTATTGCGTTGCCACTAGAGTTGATAAGAGACTAGTAGATATCGGTAGGATAGCCGCGAGAGAGCAACAGTGGCAAGTGTCAACTGTCTCCGCTTTCACCCTGAATTCGATCTGGGGTTACCGCCACTTTTCCGGCGGCGTGTTCTTTCTTTTCCGTTTGGCAGCAGCAGAGTGAAGTCGAGAGTTCGCAGTGACTAAATTAAAATTCGAAAGTACACGCGAGTGATCTCACTTTAGTGCCGAAGGGAAGGAGTTAAACAATTTGGCTTTGAGCCGCATAAAAAGGGTGAGATGAAAAACAAGCGAGTTTATAGGCAGGTGATTATTTTTGGGGGTTTTATAGGCCACCGTTGGATTGATGTTCGAAGGCCGCAAAGTAAAATAAAGGCGAGTTCGATCGAGACGAACGGGCGCCCGCGCAGTTCACATAACGAGCGAGCAACCTCCACGCCAGATATTCAACTCGGAACAACAGCGCACAAGGAAGGGCGAAACGAAGTGTCTATTCATATTTCCATCTTTAATCATCCCCATTATCCGGTGTGTCAGCCCCAAATTTCATAAGCCAGAAAAGTGAGCTAGGCGCCGTCTGACCATCGAGCCGTTTAATCGAGGCGAACTAAACACAGGTTCGATCGAACCGATTTATCAGTTTCTCTTTGCTCGGAGTGCGCATGCGACGTCGCGGCTACGGTCTGTGCTTTTAAAAGTAATTCTCGGGGAGTTAGAAAGACCATACTTAGGCCAAGAAAATCCTCGCCGTTTCGGCCAAATCCCGGTCGGAAGGGTTATCGGAGTACTCGCCACGGATAAGCGGGAAGTTTAGGTTTAAAATTCGGTTTAAGTTATGTAATAAGTGTTCGTTCGTCAAAAGTAGAGGAAAAAATTTGATTTTATTTTGTTCGGTGAAAGTGTGGTTTGGGGATAAATTCCTATTCATATCCCAGAGAAGGTAGTGCTGATGCCATCAGAAGGTCTTCACGGGCTGTACATTCCGCTTTTTATTTAATTCCTGATTTAAAAAATATATATGTCTCTGTGAGTGTGTTTCCCTTATTCAACCTTATTTAGCCATCGTCAACGAGGAAAGCGCTTTCGTCGGTGGATGGACATAAGTGTGGTGAGTTTTTAAAAAGAAAATCTATACAAAATCTTATAAGAAAAGTCAAAAGAAATAACTTAAAGTCTATAATGCTAACCTAAAAGAAAAAAACGAATATGGAGAAATAGAGAAACAAAAAAAATTGCTACACTCAGAAAAAAAGTAAAGTAAATTAGATTGAATTCAGATTGAACTAAAAGCTGTTTATGAATATCGTGATGCATCCTTCAGTTTAAAGGGTGAAAATAAAGTTAAAGTCAAAATTGGATTAGAAACAAATTAAATAAAATATGAAGATTTTTCTCTCGAGTGATATGATCCCCATGCCTCAGTTAACCATGTTAGCATCAACCAACAAGTTTTTTTAATTGCCTTACATACCCATTATTTGCCATATTTTAACTTATATATATATATATTTATTGTTTATATTTATTTATTTATTTTATGCATGTCTTTTTACGGTTTAATTTAAGAAATGGTTTATATATCTAGCAGTTAATAAAATTTTATAATGTTTTGCTAAGGTGAAAAGTGGCCGCAGCTAGCGTTGTCTTATAATGTAGAGTAGCACTTGTTAAAGGGGTCGCTCAGGCTGTTAAGCGCTGAGGATATGAGCGACCATTGGTAGGGTGGGCAAGACCAGGACCTCCACAACATCCAGGGAGGCGAAAAGGAGAAGTCAGCCAAAATGGGAAAGTAGGGAATATAAAGTGATGATTTAATGTGTGTGTTTCTCTAACCCGGTTTCAGTTTGGTGATGCACGCGAGTATCTAGTTATTATTAGGGAAGGCATTCCGAGGTAACAGCAAGACCATCACACCCATAGCCGAAGAGCCAGAGCCGGATATATTTTTTCGCGTGCGCTGGTATCTCGAGACAACATCCAGCCTGATTTGTATTAACAAGTGTAGCGGTTCGTTACAATGCATATTACACTTTTTGGCCACCGTCTTTTTGCTCTGCCTTTATTTCAGCAAAATGTCTGGCGCTGATGCCGCGCGGCAATCAAGGCATCTGCATCACCAAAACACACTTGATGGGCTCTGTCTTGCATGCCGCCGCCTCAGCTCACAACGCAAGAGAGTTAACAAAAAATTATGGCATTATGGAACCCTAATCTTTAAGTTTGTTGTTATTCCTTTCAGTGCATTATCAGTGGTTTTTGCTAATTTTAATTTTTAAACATTAAACAAAATTATCGCATACTTTTGAGTTACTTGAAAAAGAGTCATGTCAAGATTTTTTTAGAAAAAAAAGCTGTGAAGGCAACTCGTTTGGAAATTTTTAAACGAGTTCAACAAGGTATGGCATTCCATAATTGGACAATTAGTTGCAATGCTATCCTAAAAATACTGATATTTTTTATCAAAATATGATTAAAAATCCAATTGACATTTTTCATAAGGGGTAACCCCATGTTTTTTTTTGAAAATTTTGCAAAAAAAGCTGTGAATGCAGTTCGATTGGAAATTTTGCTACGAGTTCAACAAGGTATGACATTCCATTATTGGACAATTATTGGCATTGTGATCGTAAAAATACTGATATTTTTGAGCGAAAAATGGTAAAATCCCATTTTTTACATATTTCGTGAGGTTTTCATCATGATTTTTCTCAAAAATTTTACAAAAAAATCTGTGAACGCCACTCGATTAGAAATTTTGTTACGAATTCAACAAGGTATGGCATTCCATTATTTCACAATTAGTTGCATTGCTATCGTAAAAATACTGAGGGAAAATTATGACTTTTTGGTTAAAAATCACATTGTTCATAAGGGGTTTTTTGCGAAATGAAATTTTTCAGCTGTGAATGCCAACCGATTCAACATTTTATAACGCATTCAACGAGGTAACGTTCCAACATTTGACCATTATTCCCAGGGATATAAGCTTTTTATTTTACCCCGAAATGACAGCCACTGTGGGGTAAATGCAAACTTGACAAGTTTTGCCCCCAGTTTTCCTTCAACCTTTTCCTCCAGATGCTTTTGCAAGTGTGTTTGTGTGTGTCCTTGGGTGTGGGTGTGTTTATTTGGCGGAGTCGAGCGTCAAGACTTCGCTGGAACGCTAATGTGGCTTTTGTTGATTCTGCTCTCCAATCCAAAGTCTCTCACAACCCCTCGTAATGCGCTTGGTATTTATTATTATTTTTACCGGCGCTTTTGGCATTAGCCTGCCAAATTATTTGGAAATTCTGTTTAAACAAGACCGTTAGGTTGATTTTTTTCGCATCTATATTTAATGCTGCCTTCGATATACAATATTTGAAATATTTGCTTAAAACGTAATGCTTAAAAATGGATGGAATGATGTAACATAGTTGTGGGTCTGGGCGATATAATCAGTTTTACATAGTTTAAGACTACAAATTTAGCAAAAAATGGTAAAAGAAACCACAAACATGATTACGAGTCAAAAATCTATCATGCAAACATATTCGTTCAGGAATTATACATTAATTTTTTTGTTTAGTTTATTATTTTAGTTTATGTGTAGATCAGTCTGTGTGCAAGCACTGCTAAACGAAAATCTCTAAATAAAAAAAATGTTCAATATAAATAATAATAGTTAATATATAGCTATCCAAAAAAATAATAAATCGTGTGTTGAGTTGAGTTGGTTTTTCGAATTTCAGGCCAGGCAGAAGAGCTTCCTCCAGAACGAGGGCGTGGGCGGCAGGGTGGTGGGCACGAGGCCCTCCCAAATGGCTGTGTCGAACACATCCTTGACTTTGTCCTGCGAACGAAATAATAACGTTATTAATCACTGCTTAATTAAATCAATAAATCCCCACAAAAACTTCCCGTTTTGCTACACTAATTACTACCATTGTCCAGTTGATATGTGCCAAATTAAATATTGTATTCATAATTAACCAACTGTTGGCGCATTTATTTAATAGCTGGTTAAATGGCAAAGTTACCTTATTTACTGATTTTTGTATGGATAACTTACTGATTTTTGTTTTGTGTAGTTTTAATGTAGCACTCGATAACAAGCAAAACTTTGTAGTTATTAATTATTAGCAAATTAGGTTGCGAAAACAAAACAGTCAATAGCGATGGCTAAATTTGTATTGTTTGTCAGTCTCATGTAGCACATATTTAAATCTCTTTGTAGCATTAAAAAAATCGTACTTTTAATTAATTGATTAACTGTATTTCAATTATTTATCTAACAATTTCTGTGTTATCCAAATATTGGTATATATTTTCGACTAATTTTTAACCACCTTATTCAAATTGTATTCTCTAGTTGTTTCGTATCTATTTCTGAGCCCCTAAAGATCAAATCCCTGAAGTTTTTCCAACAAATGTGGACAGGATTTCCCGCCGGCGGCAATGCAACTTAATCGCGATGTTATATATGTCTTATTTTCCAGCAACTAGCGAAGCACTTGCACAACAAATTGTCACCATCATCGTCGACAACCGTCATCATCGTCATCATCATCATCATTATTATTATTATTATCCTCATCATCATCTGGTTGGTGGTGCCAAGTGCTTTATAATTTGTTGCAATCGCTTCATCTTCGCTGTCGACTTCTTTTGTGGATTCACACTGGAGGTGCTGGGGGGCGGTGCGACGAAGGGGGCGTGGCAGAAGCTGCTACCTTCGGGGAAATTCACGCAGAGTGCAATGCACGGCTGACAGGAGCGACGGCATTCAGTCGGAAGTGTTGGGGCAAACAAGAAGATTCCCATTCCCCAGCCGTATATATGTATATAAAACCCCCCTCCTCCCCTCCTCCATCACTCTCAACCGCACAATTATGATTATTGTGTGTCTGTGTGTGTTTTCATGCAATGTGACAAGGCGACTCAAAAGGATAAAAAGCGACCAGGAGCACGACGAGCTGCCTCCCGCAGGAGAACGCCTCCTTTTGGCTGCAGAATTTAGCCAGGCATTCCTTTTTTTAGGGGCTTTTTTAACCAAATACCCTATAGCTTATAGTTTTTCCCTGATACGTTTTAATTTAATTTATAGAAAAAACCGCAATAGCTTTCTAAATAAAATCAGATCATTAATATATAGCTTTTATCATTTAATTAAAGGTAATTGAAGAAAAAACCGCCATCTAAGTTTCATATATTTGTGCGTTAATTAAATTTCAGGAAAAATTTAATTTACCCCACTAAACTTGTCTTTAAGAATATTTAGTTTATTTCTTTTAGGTGGTATATTTTATTCCACACACATTTCTAACCGAAGGGACCTCAATTTATTTTTTCTAGTGTTTACACGAGACAGCGGCAATGAAGTCGGAGACCCAGAGCAATGACTTGTCTGCCTTTTGGCTTTAATTAATATAAGGTCCTCCCTTCCACCCAATTTTTTTTACCATTTTGCCCGCCCTTTGGCCATGGATTGTACTCACCTGTGTGGCTGACGAAGTCTCAATGTATTTTGCGCCAATTGTTGTTGCCAAATCCCAGGCGTCTGCATATGAAATTGCTTTCTCGCCATTTGTCTGCAGGCAAACAAAAAAAGGAAATAAGGAAACGTTAGCTTCGGGGCAGATGAAATCAAATAAGAATTTCATAAATATTTGAATCGGAGCCAGATAAATAATGATAAGGCCGCCCCCGCAAGGAGCAGAAAGCAGAAAGCAGGGGCATTAATAAATCAGCTCAAATCAAGGCTCACCTGCAGCTTGTTAAGGACATTGGGGCTGGTGCGAAGATCGGCCTGGGTGCCAACCAAAATCAGGGCGGCCTTGGTCTTGGCGAACTTGGGCGCCCACTTGGCCTTGATGGCCCGAAACGATTCCGGCTTCACCACCGAGAAGCAGAGCAGGAAGACGTCGCTGTCCGGATAGCAGAGCTCCCTCAGCGGATCCAAGGTGTCCTGGCCGGCGGTATCACAGAGCGTCAGGTGCACCGGACTCTCGTTCACATTGACATCGGCTGTGGGTGGAGAAAAAAAAAAATTCATTTAAATGCATCCTCGTTTCGCCAGAAAGCATTGATATAGTCTAAAAGGCCATTAAAAATATATTACAAAATTTAAGAATATTATAAACTTTAAAAGTAAAGAAAGCATATGCTGTCATAAAATCTTTGTTTAAATCTCGTTATTATTATGAAAGTAAAAATAAAAGTAAATTTTTGAAAATATTTTTTATATAGATTTATAAATATTTTTCCTATTTCGATTAATTAATATTGCAAAGCAGGTAAAATATATTAAATTACGTCCACATTGCTTTAAAATAAACCTTATTTGGCATTGTAATGGAATCCAAGGTGTGCCATTTTCTACATTTTTCCTTTTGATTTGCTTTAATTTGCCAAACGAATCAATCAATTGATTTGTGTGTCTGCGTGGGCCCATCACTTTGGCCTGATTTCGGTTCTGTTTAATTACAAAATATGTAAATTACTCCCATTCTGAGCTCTTTCCCTTTTGCACAATGTGATTGCATTTTGTTGTCGGAATTTAATTTAATTTAAAATGCTTTACCAATCCTTTTGTTGTCCCCTCCACGCAGGTGCACATTTTTGGCATTGCACAAAGCACATGGCACACTAGAACACCCACACACACACACAGCTACAGATAGTTATCGTGGACACTCACACAAACGCACGACAGGTGGCACTTCCAATCACACAGAAATAAAAGGCCAACACACAGACAAGCTGGGAAATTGGAGATGCCAGAATTTGCCCATTCATTCGGCTCTCTATTTTCATTTCTAAGCTGCATTAGCTTTATAATCTTGGTTATAAAAAGCACTACCTAAATTATATATCCCTGATAATCTCGAAACTCGTTACCAAAATGATGTGAAAACTTTTTATAAAGTATTTTGCCTTTTTTAATGTCAAAATTAAATCTCAACGGACTTGCGCCCCAAAAGTATGCTGTAAAAATTTGTCCATCTATGCTATTAAAATTTGTAAAGTTATCATTTCAAAGTGTTTTTTTAAAGAGATTTATTTGTTATTTCAAGTCGTTAAAAATCTTCAATTAAAATCACTTGAAGACTTGTCTAAAAGTGTACTGCGAGCAAAATTCATTACATTGTTGTTTAGGCATATAATAAATCATGATTGATTTTTGTGGCTTTTCTCATTATTATTATGTTATCCTAGAAATCATAAACTTCATTGTGGTAAACTAATTTGCAGCCTCAATTTTCAACGAAAGCCAGAAACACTAATAGCAAATAAAAAAGGGAAACCGATATAAAATAATCTAAACCCTACAAGTTTGGTTTTTCAGCAGTCTTTTTCGTCAGTTAATTAATATTTGTTTTTTCAGCACATAAATGTTTGCCGAGCGGATCGCTTGCTGCTTACTGATACTGTTTAATTACATCCAACATTGCATTGATGCCATTTTGCCCACAACTTGAACTAAACTGGAAAAGCGTCATGAAAATGAAAATGTGGGCGTGGAGCATCAACAATGAAACGCTGGCAAGTGAATTAGTAAAGCGCTTGGCAGGGAAACTCCTCATTTTCCACCCATTTTCTGCCACCTCCCATGTGTGCAAAGAACATTCATATTTAAGCGCAAGCGAAAATGATTTGAATGATGCTCAGGAGAGTGACGAAGGGGCTGCGATGTTTGCGGAGTCCACACTCGGAAATATTTTCTAATGAATTATCATTTCATTAGGTTTTATATTAAGACTTCAAGAAACCATAATTTAATATTCTTAGCAAATTTTCAAATATTTAATATTTTCAAATGGCTTTTAATTAAATTATGAATGTCTTCTGTGGCCTAACGATAATAATTTCAGTATTTGGTATTTGAAAATAGAAAAGCTCACTGGGTAAATTAATAAAATATTCAAGAATAAATATAACCCCTAAAAAACATCTGCTGAATGTTACGATATGAAATGATTTTCACATGTATATTAAACCAATAGGTGACCAATTACTATCTATCAATTTAATATGACTTGTTAATTGTTTTCTCTGTGCAGAGACTTTGGCATGGTTGGTTTTTGCACGCCCTGCCAAGCAGATTTGACCTCGCGTTCGCTGCCAGCCCCGGAGTGTGTCCATGTCCTATCTAAAAGTTAATCATGGCAACCTTTCATTCAATGCAGCCTCCTCCGACTGTTTGGCCTGCGTAAATAAAGTTGCCGGGCTGCCCTGCTCGGGGATTTTTAATCAGCCTGCCGCATGCAGCACGTAGTACCAGGCTGCCGGTTGCTCGTTGCAGGTTGCAGGTTTCAGCTTTCAGGTGCAGCGAAGGTCGCCAGACCCGTGGCTCTGGGGCTCATGTAAAATAAATTTAATTTGTGCAGCGCATGAAATTCATGAATACATTTGAGGGCACCCCAAAAACCGAAGGCCTGACGCTGATGTGACTTCATCTGTGGTCTAAAACGCCCCCGCTTTTTTTTTTTGGTTTAATGGAGCTTAACAAAAAACGTTCACCTCATTTCATTTGGTGAATTTTCTGGCCCACGGACTTCACTCTTTTGAGAGAAAAACCAAGAATTTTTCTCTCAAAAGAGTGGTTTCCTTAAATGTTTGAATACAACCTTTGTGCTAAATACTTTTCTGCCTATTTTCCAGTGACCTTAAACTCCTTAGATTTCTTTCACTAACTACTCTTCCCTAGGCTGATCTTTTTATAATCTCTTTTTAAATATCCCAATTTTCTGATGGCCCATTTCAGCTGGCTAAAATAAAAATAAATATTCCAATCACTTCACCCATTTCGTTGTGCAATTTCCTTGAACCTCCTCATTGTTGCTTTATTAGTTGCCCGTATTTCTTGGCTATTTCGGCTGCCAAAAAGTGTAAAAGTGGAAATCAATGCCGGAATACACAAGGCGCATTCAATGGCATTCCCTTTGCTTTTCACAAAAGGGAAATTGTTTGCCAGCTCAGCTGAAAATCGCTTTACGCGAAGGAGAACAAAAACAGTGAAGTGAAGTGAAGCGAAGTGAGGGCGAGCGATTCTCTTGAGGGTGGAGGGGGGTAAGGAAAAGCCAGACAATGGCGAAGGTCGGGACAAAAGGCGAACATCGTTAGCGGTTGAGGATGGAACCCAACCAACCAACTCAAGAACAACCAATCCACATGTGTGTGTGCTCGTGTGTTTGTGTGCAAGTGAGCAATTGTGTAATTGTGAGCCAGAAAGGCAGCTTCCTTTTCGCCGCCTTTCCTGCTGACTCAACCTTATTGACACCTAATTGAGTCGGAGTCCCGTGCTCCTTTCCCATCTGTCACAGATTGAGGGATATATATGGTGCGGCCGGAGCTCCATCACTCAGGCAATTAACAATTACGACTTCCTGTGTCTTCTTAAGAGGGGGGCAGTGGGGTAAAAAATAAAGAAGGAAATTGCAACAATTTGACGCACTTAGAGCAAGTCAATTAGCCAACCTCCTGCCTTAATTAGTTCCAAAACTTATGCCTAATGGCCGAACTATGCCAAAGCATAGCACAAGTGCACATTCAGGAAAACGACGGAAAAGCTAGAAAAGCTGGAAAAGCTGGAAAAGGGACTGCAGATTCCACGGAATGTGCGCCGGGCATAGTTGAGAGCCAGCCATGACTGGTATTCACAGACCCCCTCAAATTGTTTCTAAAAGCCTCGCTGACTATGGGGGGGAACACGCGGCGTATGCGTAATTTCATTCTTAACAAACGACAACGGGACAAAAGGACATCGAGGCGAGCAGCTGGTGTTGGCGACCCCTGGCCAAACCAAAAAAAAAATATAAAGAGGAAGTGACATTCCAAGCATTTTAGGCGAATGAAATGTTTCGCATACAAGACTCCCACTCTAAACACACAAAAAATAAAGCTTGCAATCCCAGCATTTTGCCCCTCAAAAAAAGGGGCTTCAATTAGCAGGACACGAAAACAGCAACGAACGAGTCTAGGATATTTTTTCCTGATATGCAAAAATGTCGAACAACAATTTTGTATTAGATAACAACCAAAAAACAGTGACTACCAAATATGAGAATTTTAATTTACAACGCAAAATAGCCTTTCAAGCTTTTCTTCTATTTACAATTCATGCAATTCAAATATTTGTCAACAAATAATATTTTATTGACCAATAATAAAAGAATTATCTGTTAAATAAAAATAAATATCAGAAACTGTAATTTTACCTAAAATCTTTTGTAAAGCCTTTTTATCTTTTTTTATCATAATTAAAAAAAAACCTTTACAAAATACCAGGTAAAAGGTGAAAATTCGCCTGCCATTCACTGTACTACACCTAGTTGAATCTGTTGAATTATTCCACGATTATCTGCAGGGCGAATTTGGCCAGGACGTACTCCCTTTTTCCACACTTACACACATACGAACACCGAATGGCTGAGTGGCAGCAGGCAACCAAAATTGTTGGCCCCAAACCGAGCGTGCAGAGAAGTGCAAATTCATGCAAAATTTTATTAAAATCAGCCCCATGGGGCTGGTGAGGGGTTAAACTGGCTGCTGCCGGCTGTCTCGAGTGCCAGACAGACGATGGTTAAGGGTTAAGAGGGAAGAGGCAAGAGGCAAGAGGGCCAAGGGCTAAGCATAATTCAATCAATTGCTTATGGCAAGAGGAGGAACAAAAAAAAGCAAGCCCGAAACAAAGTCAAGTTTTCACATTTTGTGCTTCTGTTGAATAACCGCAAATTTCAATTTTCCGTTCATTAAAATTCGTGAATAGCACAAAACACACACTCGACAAATGCCAAAGTAGTGAAAGTCAAATGAGGTCCAGGGAGCTGAAGCAGTATCCAAAAACTGTAACCCCACAATTCCCACAGAAATTCAGAATCCAAATAATTTTCGCCCACTTGCGTCCTCCATTGGCACATCCTTCACATGGAAAAGCAAGAGCGGAAAACTCGGTAAAGATTTCACAAATTGGTTTTCAACAAAATGAAAAATTCATATACGTGCCGAGAGCAGCCAGCCCAATCCAACCCGAATTCTTGATTCTCGCCTTTAATCGAAACGAAGGCTGTGAAGGTCGAGAACGAAATAAGGAGAGAAAAAAAAGCAGGAATGGAAACCTGTTGAAAGGCGCCGTTAACGCGACGGATAAAACTGCCTACTCCACTCACCATTATAAATGTCTGAGGCCGTGGGTATGTGTTCGGGATTGAAGCGGTTCTCCAGATACGACAGGATCAGATTCGTCTTGCCCACAGCTCCATCGCCCACCAGGACGCACTTGATCGAGGGCTGCGAAGGGGTGACAGCTGCAAATAAAATATAAGTTAATTAGTTCAAATTGTGTCGTAATTATTGGTACATTTCAGGGAAATTACACTATAACTTCATTGTTTCTTAATATACATCCGTATAGAGATAGTAACGATGGAAAAATCAGTAAAACGAGAGCATCGAAACCAAAATAAAGAATATTACATTTTTGAAAAAGCTGCAAGGGTATTTAAACTTCGGGGTATTTAATATTTTTGTTTCACCGACTTTAATGCTTTAAAATTACTATTTTATTAGTTTTTGAAGTCTGCATGAAGTTTTAATATTTGTAAGCATTATCTCTATTAATATTTAATTTTCAAATAATTTGCTTAATAAAATACCTAATAATTAAAAGTCTCTTTCTCAAGAAATCCTTCCCCATCTGTGATGCAATTGGAAAGGCCTTCAAATTCCCAAAAACTCACCCTTTTTGCCACCCTTTTTGGCCGTTGTTGCGGCCTCAGCTGTTGCTGTTGTTGTGGCTGCTGTTGCTGCGGTTGTCTTCTTTGATTTACGCTTACGCAGTAAGAATTTGGAGCCCTTGCCGCTGCTGGCGGCACTGGTGTCGCTCAGCGATTGTTGCTGCAAAAGAGAAAAGAACAAACCACAACAAAAATATTAAGATGAAAACCAAAGTTAAATACAAATTTATGGTTGATAAAATCACTTAGAAGTATGAAAATATATAGATGCAGTCTGAAAACTGGCAACATTTCACTCGGATGCATTTAGATTTCCATCAAAATTTGATTATTCCGAGCCGCATTGCGCATACGCCTGGTGTGCCTAAGAAATTTGCCAAGAGTGGCAATTAAATAATGAAAGCCAACAGATTGAAGCAGCTGTGTGTGAGTGTGTGTGTATGTGTGTGGGTCGTATAGGTGTTAGGATGGAGGTAAGCAGTGTGGGGTGGGGGTGTGAACTAATGCCTAGCGCGACACTTTTGCCTCGCCCGACTAATTTAATATGCACATATAAATTAGCCAGGAAGACAGCAGATGCTCTGCGGGGCGGAGAAAGCGGCAGATGAAGAGGGAAAAAGGTGGAGAAAGGAGGAGGGTGGAGGAGAAAGAAAATAACTGACAGACGAATAAAAATAGCTGCAACACAGGAATAGAAGACATTTTGTTGATTTCTCACATTGCGTATACGCCACCGACCGACAGTCAAAACGGCCTTCTGCACTCATCACTTTAGTTGGAATTTACCTCGCCATCCTGTCCTCTTAATTGTTTGAGTCTGGTATTCGTGCATTTACTATCTTTTTTGTATCCTTTTTTTAACACAAATACTCTTAATAAACAAATAAAATAAATTCATTAACTGATTTATTGTAAAATTGCAAAGAGTTGTTTTGTTTTTCCCCTTTATTTCATTAATTACTTTTGAGTTTTCTCCTTAAAAAACTTCTTTCTTACTTCTCCTCATCTGAATTTAGTTTCTGAATTTTAAATTCATTAATTCTCAATGTACCATTAAGCTTTTATTTTTTTCTGGTTTTTATTTGGTAAACAATTATAAAGCTAGCCGAGTGAGTAAATATTCTGTATGTTTGATTTATTCAGTGAACAGAGAAAGGGCAAATACAGTTTAAACGCTTTTTTTTAATAATTTAATTTACGAGCAACAGTTTGCAAATATTACTATTTTCTTGTTGTTGTTGATTAAATAAAATTGTTTAATGGTCAGAAAAATCAGCACTTGAATAAATTTTGCCAATGGAGGCCCAAAACTGGGGTATTGACTTAAAGATACCGATTATACATTTGTTAATTGAAAAATACGAAACCCTTTGAATAAAACATTTTAGCTTTGAAATAGATAGTATAGTAAATAGTTAAGTACACAAACAGAGATGTTTCTGTATTTATATGTATATTTTGTTTTATAATTTTTCAACGAATGTACACACCCCAGTTAAGTTTTTCCGCTTAAACAAATCGCTGAATCTGAAATGTTCTTAAAGTGGCACTACATATTTTTTCTATAATTTCATTATATTTAACTTTATTTATTTATTGAAGCAGCGCAATAAATTATACCACAATAAAGTAATCTAAAAAATGGATTACATTTTTGCGGAGTAAATGAATTTGTGTTTAAAGCTTTAATGCTGCATTCCGTTGTTTTGTTAATGGGTTAATATAAGCTGCCAATTTGCGAGCACTTACTTCACGAAATTGCTACTTATCAATCATTGTACAATTGCCAATTGCAAGTTAACATATCGCCGAATGGAAAAGCCTGGGAAAGCACGTGTGTTGGTGCCTTCCTGTATTCTCAATATTGTTCCCGTTCAATTGGGAAAACATATTTGCCAGACGCTATCTAAATCAATATCTAAATTGCACTGCGTTTTGTCGTTGTCAACTCGAGAAGGTCTCTCCTTTTGCTCGCCATTTTCCTCTTCAGAGTTTTCCATCCTTCGGTTGCCATTTTCCGCTTGTTAGGCGATAATATCGCATACAAGCACACGAAAGTGAAACTTAAAGTTGGAGTGGGTTTTTTGGGGGAAAATAAAGAGCTCAAAATAAAAATACACACAATCGATAGCACTAAAGCCAAAAAGGTTTGACCTTTTAGCGAAATTGAAAAGAATTGTTATACAATCAGTCAATCTGGCAATTAACCTTTAAATAACAAATTACTACTCGCTAGTCCTGCCATTATTTCACTAATTTTCCTATACATTCTTCTTTATGGCCATAATTTAACGCCTGTCCTCGAGGCTTTGATCAAACTTTTCCGGAACATTATTCACAGCTCTCAATCAACATAAAAAAAAAATGGCAAGTAGGACTTAGGCCCCCCCACTTTCCAATTAAATTAAAACGTCTGTCTCAGGGTCTCTTCTTTCACTTAACTTCCTCCTTAAGATGACTAAAAATAATTCCTTAATTTTTTGGCCATTTTTTGGTACACAAACCCGAAAGTCAAAGCCAAGTTGTGCTTCTCTTGACAGCAACTTTGCTCGCAGCCAAAAGAAGGAAACTTTGCCATGTGCGTCTTAAACTAAGTAAGCCCTCAAAACGTTAAGGGCCGGGGCCATGTCAAAAAACTTTACTCCTGGTCTTTTGGTCATCGTAAATATGCAACTTTTTAATAATTTCATTCGGCCATCGCCCCTTTTATGCTGAAAATACTTATGTACTGATAATTTTCGTTTCGAAATGCTACCAACATTTTTTGTGCGTTAAAAGTTTGTCGCCTTAACCCTTGACTTTCAATGTCCCGCGGGGACCTCAAGTTGAGTCCAATAATTGTTGAAAAAATATTGGCTGCCTCTCTGCGGGTTGGCAATGTAAATAATAAATTTTTTAACCGAAAAACTTTTTTTCCCGGCTGCTCTTGGCACACATAGTTGGGCGGGTTTTAAGAAAAGTCCTGCGGAGACAAGAAATAACTTCAGAGAGCGGCAATTGCAGCAACAATAACGATTAAATAAATCAAAACTGGGGAACAGAGATCTTCTTCTAGAAACCAACTGAAAGTTGAGTGTTTTTTCCCGGAAAAGGGAAGCGACTGTTGGCTTTATTTAAAAAGTTCCATCATCACAAAGTTAACCACCCAAAAGTAACCAATAAAATTACTTAAAGTATCAGCAGCCAAAAGGGAATATATTCACAAACACGTTACAATACGTAATGAAAGTGTAACAAATGTCTAGAAGCTCAGTGATTATTTAAACCTCTTTTCAAAATAGCGGCTTTACAATAATTAATATTTGACAGTTAGAATTATAAAATGACCATTGAACTGCATTTTTAAATTTGATTAACTTGTAAATATTCATGGCCACTAAATAAAGGAAAACAAATTCAATAGCCTTTAAACAACCAATCAAAAAATATACTGAAGCGAGGATAAAGACAAATATATATGGGCTAACTTGTAACCTTTCGGCCAACATTCATGTTGTCATCCTGCCTTTCTTGGCCATTAAAAGTTTTTGTTTTGGCCAGCATGTAAATCATGCTTAAAATACAAGGACGAGTTCACTTCAGGTGGGTGGAGGGCAGAAAACTTGAAAAATGGGTCAAAGTTTTACTATACATGCGAGAGAAAAAAAAGAGAAGTATTCCAAATATATTGTTATTTTTATTGTTTTTTTTTTTTTTTTTAAAAAAAATTCTCAAAATGTAAGCAAACTGTTGACAGCCACCGCATTAATGGTAATTTACTAAAAGAATGAGATAGCTGAGCAAGATTAGAAAGAAATGGACTGAGAGTTCCATTAATTCTTGTTTGGGCAATTGAATCAATCGCCAGGGGAGTTGCTTAACTTCTTAAATCCCCCTTTTTTACACCAAAACAAGAAAGGAAAGCTAACTTCGGGCGGAGCCGAAGTTGATATACCCTTGCAGAATACTCTGTAAATTATATTTTCCAAAATTATTCATATGATGCATTCTTAATACTCATAAAAAATCCCAACTTCGTAACTTTAAAAACACCAAAGTTATGGCATTTCCGATCAATCAGTTATATGGCAGCTATAGGATATAGTCGGTCGATCCTTATAAAATTTGGTACGTCAAATTGATTGGCCAAATACAAAACACATAGAAAATCCCAACTTCCTAACTTTACAAACACCAAAGTTGTGGCATTTCCGATCGTTCAGTTATATGGCAGCTATACTATATAGTCGGCCGATCCTTATAAAATTTGGTACGTCAAATTGATTGGCCAAATGTAAAACCCATAGAAAATCCCAACTTCCTAACTTTAAAAACACCAAAGTTATGGCATTTCCGATCGTTCAGTTATATGGCAGCTATAGGATATAGTCGGCCGATCCCGGCCGTTCCGACTTATATACTGCGTGCAAAGGAAAGAAGGGTGTGTGCAAAGTTTCAATTCGATAGCTTTAAAACTGAGAGACTAGTTTGCGTAGAAACAGACAGACGGACAGACGGACAGACAGACGGGCAGACGGACAGACGGACATGGCTATATCAACTCAGGAGGTGATCCTGATCAAGAATATATATACTTTATATGGTCGGAGATGTCTCCTTCACTGCGTTGCACACTTTTGACCAAAATTATAATACCCTCTGCAAGGGTATAAAAAAAAACTCCTTACCCACATGAGACTAAAAGTTACGCAAAAATTCGACAATAATTTTTGCAAAATATATTATGAAATTGTGTGTGTATGAATTGAAGAGGGAAAAACAGCTGGCACAAGAAATTTGAATTGAAATTGATGGAATTATTATTAATGGATTATGGTTGGGTATGAAAATATTTGAATTTATAAATATAAATGTGTGTGCGTTTGGGTTGAAATGAAAACAGGGGGTTGAACAAAAAGGTTTGTGAAAACTTCTCTATTTAATGTGGAACTAACATTTGATACTAAAAATTGAGTTGTTGGCACCCATTTAAAATATTTTGCCTTAGATATTATTCAAAATTGTATTTGTTTTTTTTTTTTGTGGCCTGAATTTTTGCATTTTTCATTTTGGCACACTCAAAAATTGTGGCCCACTTCGACAGCCTTTTGACACATGATATTTATGGAATAGTTCACGGATTTGTTTGTCGGTTTTTCGGAATTTGGCAATATTTACGTC